AAGGAAAGGTTGTGAATTAGTTTTTTTCTAAACTTATAAATGGTACTGAACACAGGTTTGGGGTTTGATTTCAGTGTGAGTTTGGTGTTTTTTGTTTTTCTTTCTGCTGCTCCACTCTGCTCTGAGGGGCCAAGTTTAAAATAAAATGTTAAAAACTGTCACTAACACAATTTCATTATTTTACTCACTTTCTGAGAGTATAATAAAACAATTTCAACTAACTTCTAAATTTAGCCATTTTTACGAAATGTTTAATTTAAATGTTGAATGTTATACCTTAATGTTAAATCATAAATCTAAATGGAAAAATAAAATCTTAAATGTTGTAGCTAAAAGTTGATTTACATTTAAAATTTCAAAGTACGATGCAGCTTTGCTATTGGTGCTCAGCTCTTATTATGTCATCATAATCCTGAGGCAATAGTCACTTTTAAAGCTGCTAATGCTGCTAACAATGCTAATGCTGCTAACTTTTACTTACAAGACATCAAACTTGCAGCTGCAACTGGTGTCTTCAAACTGCCGGATAAAAGCATCCATACTATATTAAATGTATACAGTTTGAATTTAGATTTTACTTACTTACTTACTTACTTACTTACTAGATTTTAAATACCATCTTCACCAGCATTAGCAATGTTAGCAGCATTAGCAGTGTTAACATTAACAGTGTTAGCAGCATTAGCAGTGTTAGCAGCATTAGCAGTATTAGCAGTGTTAGCTGCATAATCATTGTTAGCAGTAGATGGTGGAAAATTTTTAACTAGGATTTTACGCACAGAAAATAAGCTAAATAACAACGCTGGTGACAATTTTTAACATTTATACTTAGTGCCATATACACTACAAAGATTATTTTGTGGGGGCGGCTGTGGCTGGACTTCCCTAACCACTAAAGTAACAAGCATTACTTGAAGTCGCCAGCTTGCATGCCAAAGTTTAGAACAAACTTCTTGCATGATCTGATAGAGTTCAGAGAACAAGATGTGGATGACTCAAGCTACTTCTACACCACCCCCTCCAGATTTCAGCTTGATAGCTGTAAAARTGACTGAGTTATGGACGTTTACGTGTTTGTGGCAGCCATTTTGAAAACACTTAACACACTAGTGTCAGAGAGTTTCATTAAAATCTTCTCYGTTGTTGATAAATATACAAGCAATTACATGAGTGCCAACTTTTCATGGTAACTGTGAAAATAGTAAATTAAATATTGAAAACTAACACCAGTGCGTACGGTAAAGTGTGTGAATTATGTCTCTTTTGGCCCCCCATACATCGACCTCTGCATTTCTGTAAATCATCAGGAATCTAAAATGTTTCTTCTGATTTTAATTAAATATTCAGGATTCTTCATSTAATTGCACGTCTCTGACTCTGATCTCAGTTCAGAATAAATACATTTTCTGTCAGTGGAAATGAAGAAGGTTTGTGTGGTGAAAAGGTGTAAAGTCAGGGTGACAGTTATTTCCCAGCTATCACCATTCTTCTTTTATGAGTCGACACAGAGGGAGCAGAGGTGTGACACCAGGCGTTTTATCTGGTCGCGCTTCCATTTTTCTCCTGGACGTGATAAAACTGACACCGACTTATCGAAATTAGACAATTTGTGGCCTGTGCCAGCTTTAACCTGTTGTGTTTAGACCTGTCACTGTTTATCTGAGCTGCTCTCAGAAACAGATTGATTTGTACCCAGGTCTCTGACATTTCTTTCAATGTTTTTATTTTATCWTTTTATCCCCTGAATTTTACCTTCAGAGAGTTTTTCCACACAGACTGGTTCTGCTGCAGCCCGGTGAATCAAATTGCCCATTTAGAAAAATACTTGAAGAAATTATATTAGCAGACCAAGGCTGGGGTGAAAATTTGTTTAGAGCAGGCAGACAGATAGCCTTTATGAGAATCCTGGCTGCTGCAGCTAAAAAATCTATTTAAGTCGGAGCAGAATCAATCTTTTTTGTAAATTTTCTAGGCGAAAAGTGGAAAAAAAAGCATCATTTTAGGTTACAGTTTTAAAGCATCGCTCATTTATCTGATGTGTAAAAGTGYAACAACTTAGATTACAGAGAGTGAGCTACATTTTGATGTGGTAGTAGCTGAGAGTCATCCTCAACAGACTCAGYGGAGTGCAAATCACRGTTTGACCAAAACAGCTAAAACTCCTTACATTCTCGTGATACGATGATTGTAGTTTAACACTCTGCTAGGCCTTAATTTTTCCTAATTATTATAGAAAATATTGATTTGATGATGATCCACCCTTGTTGTTTTCAAACTTTTTTACTTCCGGCCCACAAAATAACAGTTGCAGACACTCGTGACTAGGGATGACATTCAKCATAGTAATTATTTGTCATCTCGCGATAAAAACAATAAAATCCCACCGCGTGCTGCAGGCTTTACATACCTCCTCGCCAAGTTAAGCTTCGTTTGTTTACTCAGAGGAGACATTGACGCGCGGAGCTTGTGCTAAAATAGTAAAGCTAAAAAGCTATCGTAATGACTCAACGTGCAAAAAAGCAGTCAGTCATCTAAAAACTCTTTGAGTTCAACAATATGTTAGAAAAACAACAGGATGGGGCAGCTTCAACTTMCTGGACCCACAAAAAAACAGCTCCTCCTCCCCCGTCTCCTCTGTCCCAGCCCCCAGCCAGGCTGCTGCGTGGCTCGTCTCTCTCCACTCACACAACTACCCCCCCCCACCCCATCCCCTGACCATTAACCCTTTAGGGAACAGAAATTATAACTTTACTTCCCAGAGCTGCAAAACTCATTATTTTCAGTGATTTAGTAAAAAGTATTTTCTTGTGGTTTTATTTTTTA